GGGGTAGGTAAAAACAAAAACATTGGAAAGTTTTGGAAAGAAAAGGACAGATAGAATGATAGAATGGTTAGGAACCTAAAATAGGGAACAGCTACTGGTTAAGATTCCAAAACCAGTGAATAGACAGACCACATAAATCGCTGGCCATGGGTAGAGAGCAAGGAGAGACATCGCCGGCTACAAACGTCAGTCTTGGCTGGCCAAGAGGAGAATGCCTTGTATTATGGGCAGAACCAGCACCACTTCCCAGGAATGAATTCAGAGCCCAGTTTTTCTCCCTCTATCTCTGGGGCAGAGGGCAGCCGGGGCAGACTCGAGAGTAGTAGGTCTTGGCAGCAGGAGAGCTATCAGCCACGTGTGACTATTTAAGTTAAAATGAACTAAAATGAAATAAAATTCAGTTCCTCAGTCACAGTAGCTACTTTTCCAGCGCTCTATAGCTATTGTAGCTACTGGCCACGACATTTGGACAATAGAGATAGAGAACATGTTCCTCATTACAGAAAGTTCTATGGAATAGCATTGATCTAGAGGGGGAGAGAGTTACAAAGTATAACTGTAACCCATTTTCCTTGCCAAATCCACTAGACCCTAGTTACCTGAAGACCAAGACAGAGACAGATGTGTTTTTAAGGTTGAAGCAGGCTGAGGAAGTGAACAAAGTTGGAATCAGTACACGTATTGAGTGATGCCACCTACATGTGTAATTAAGTGAAATACCTGTAATGTATCTACCTGCCTAGGATGCCTCTGTACCCCTAAGAGTAGTCATTAAAAACTGTCCTTTTTTTTTTTTTTATGGGGAGAAATTATGCAGGAGGAGTAATCTTTGCTAGCAATTTGTCTTGAACTTGATCTTGCTTCCAAGCTTATTAAATGCCTTGAGGAACACTGAGAAATATATTTCTTAGGTTGAGACTTAATTGACTCCAGTCAATAAGATGGTTTTGACTGGATGTCTCTGACATTCCTTAATTACACGTATGAGATCATGAACAGAGCTAGTAGGACTGGGAAAAGAAGGTAGATTTGTCCTCAGCTAAAATGTGTATTATTTAAGGCACCAGGAGAGTGAGAATCTGTGTGTTTCCTCTTCTCTCGTCTTGTATGCCGTTTCTCTGCCAGACCAGGAAATGACCCCCGATGGCTGACTTCTAATGAAGTGAGATCTCGGTGGAAAGTTTTCTGTATGCGTGCAGATTTTTGGAGACTCGTTTCATTTCCTACCTAGTTTGTATTTTCTTGATATCTTATCCTAAAGCGATTTCTGAAGGAGACAGGTTTTAGGGAAAAGATTAGTGCAAATCATCAAATCTGGTCTCAGAAATTATTCGTTTTCTGTCTTTCATTGTAGGGCACTTAAGTCAATAATCCTTTCCTGCTTATGTTTCTGCTGTGGAGGTTCTTTTGAGCTAATAGAATCACTTTCTTGTTCTCTTGGTATTGTGGAATGGGATGGAAGGGGAAGGAATTTTCCTTCTTTGCTCCTTGCTGCTTTTAAACATTATCCTTTATTAAACTATATCTCTGCATCCTTCCAGTCCTACGACTTGTTTTGGAGGGAAAATAAAAAGAATCGGAGCAAATTGAGTGGACATGAGAAGAACCAGTTAATAAGAAGCTACACTCCCCCTTTATTTTAATATTGAAAGTGGTGAGTTTGTAGAAGATGGAGGTATAAAAGTTCTTGTGACATTAACATGCACTTAATCCTCTTTGAGTTCAAGAAGTAAGTGGGGATGGTAATGAGTTCCGAGTAATTTATGATGACGTTGACTCTCTAGAAAGCTGACTTTCCTGCTTTTAGTTCGGAACTCTTGATATAAGTTGGCAGGCTTAGTAATTGACTGAATGAGGGGACAGTTCCCTTTAATCATATGCACCGGTCCTATAGAACAAGCTGTGTCATGTGGCTCTTTATCCATTCATTTGTGACTCTTTGATTCTCTGAATTGAAAAAAAGCCACGACGAAAATCCACCTTTTTATTTTTGTCTTCTCCGTTGAAGGACAATGTCATATTTTTGTCTCTAGAAAACGGCTGTGAGAAAAGGATGATAAATATAAGGTTTAGATGGAACACTCATTTTTATGAAATTCACAGGTTTTTTTTTGTTTGTTTTTTTGTTTTTTTTAAGCTTACAGAAGATAGTTTTCAGTTAATGGATCTGGAAGTTTTTATATTTATCCTTACTTAACTCCTTAAAAAATTTCTACCTACATCTTTTTAAAAAGATTCTTTTTTATTATACTGGGAAACAATATAAATTTAAACTTCCAATAAAATCTGTTAAAGTTAGAATTGTTCTCATCAAGGTTAAAGTCTTGTTATTGTTATTGTTTGCCATTGTTTACCTTGCCCCTTCCCTCCAAAAAGAAAGTTGTCATAAACTCCCTGATATATTTAGGCTTTATGTATCTTGATTTTGAGATGCGACTCACCCGTTCTGGGATATTAGAGATGGGGATCTGTAAGAGACGAGGGACTAAGGGACAGGCTGGGTGCAGGGGACGAAAGCAGTGCTCAGACCCAAAGCGGACCTACTGGCCTCTCCGAAGAGTGAGGTCTGCATGGTTAAAGCCACCCGAAAGGAGCTTCTAGCACTTCAGAGGGGATGGAGCAGGTCAGAATAGAATTTGGGACAGTTAACCAGCTTGCTGGCTTGAGCTAGGTCTGAGATCACTGGCCACTTTCCTTTTCGTCTCCTGCAGTGCTCATCTTGCTTTCTGTCTTATGGCTTTGTCTTTCCTTGGGCAGCGGGTAGAGAAGGGGGGACATACAACTTTGTGATCAAAAGCTTGAGCCCTCAGTGCAGATCGCCTTGATTAGAATCCTACCCCTACCACGGATTAGCTGTGTAACTCCGAAGAATTTAATGTCTCTGTGCCTTCACCTGTAAAATGAGTTAATATTTTGACTTTCATGGGCTGTTCACGTGAGATAGTTCTTACCTAGCACGTAGCCTGATTCCTGGCATAGAGGAAGTGTTCAGTCATGTTGGCCATTACATTATTCCCACTTTCTAAATGAGATCACATTCTTGCCTTGGGATGCTACTGACACAGTATAATATACCCCAGAAATAACTTCATTTGTTGTTAAAATGATAGAACAGATGAAAATACAGAAATTCATCTCCCACCTCCCTCCAAAGTCATCTCAGATTTATGCGTTGTTTCCTGGGGCTTTTTTTCTTTATCTGAAAGGGAGTCTAGGCCATCTTGTCACATGAAATTGTTTTTTCCTTGGGATGCTACTGACACAGTATAATATACCCCAGAAATAACTTCATTTGTTGATAAAATGATAGAACAGATGAAAATACAGAAATTCATCTCCCACCTCCCTCCAAAGTCATCTCAGATTTATGCGTTGTTTCCTGGGGCTTTTTTTCTTTATCTGAAAGGGAGTCTAGGCAATCTTGTCACGTGAAATTATTATTTTTTTTAAAGCACCCAGGTAAGTTGAACACTGTTCAAAAAGAACACAGTTTAGAAGCTCCCGAGACGGAAATTATATTTCAGATGAGTTGACGTTTAGCCAGTGCTGCTCTGTTCCTGTGAGAGAGTCTCATCCTGTGGAAATTCATCTTTTCAAACGCTTCTTTTATTGTCCGCTGTGCTGGAGATTCAGCAGTCACAGTGTACACAGCTTCCTGCCCTCACAGCCCTTGCATCTCAGTGAGGAAGACAGCAGAAAACAGGGTGGTTCAGAGAGATGACAGGTAGGTGAGGGGCCAGGGAGTGACCCGAGGAGGTGTTTGCAATGTCTGGAGATATTTTTGGTTGTCACATCTACGGAAGGGGTGCTACTGCTATCTAGTGAGTAGAGGCCAGCTGAACATCCTGCCACGTATGGGAATCCGCCCCTAAAACCCAAACAAAGGATTGTTTGGCTCTCAGTGAAAAGTGCCCTGTCGATTGAGAAACTCTGCTCTAGATGGTGCTGGAAGCCTCGAAGAAGAGCGGGGACTTCGGGCTAATCAGGTTGTAAGTGGTAAGAAGGAGCTTTTCCCACCAATGTTTGCGGGAGGAGCTTTTTGGGAAGAGGCGCTGGCAGGAACAAAGTCCCTGAGGCGGCAGCAGGCCAGCGTGGCCATCGCGGGTGAGGTCGGCACTGTGGGTAAATCACGAAAGGTTTCGTGGCCATGGTAGGAGTTATTCAGGTTACTCCGTGGGCTTTGAAGTTATCGTGAGAGTTTGGACAAAACAATCGCTGATTGTTTTGAATTTTTCCCTTTGATTTTTATTTCCCACAGAATTATGGCCTTGAAACTGATAACATGAAGAACTTGGTTCTGAAACTGCGAGCGTCTTCCCACAACTTACAGAATTACATAAGCAGCCGGCGGAAAAGTCCAGCGTATGACGGGACCACGTCCCACAAGCCGCCCAATGAGTTCCTGACTTCCGTGGTGGAGCTCATAGGCGCTGCCAAGGCCTTGCTGTCTTGGCTGGACCGGTGCGTTGCCATGTGTTCCTTTGTCCTGTCAAGGGAGGGGGCCTGAGATGCACACGGGCCTGTACTTTGTCTTAGGAAAATGAACCATTGTCCCTGTCCTGTCTCTTCCACTGGGCCTCTCCAGGAACTCTGGATCATTGGTAAATGTTAGGGTCTCTTTGGAAATTATCGAGAAGTGACTAGCAGGAACAAATTAACCTCATCTGAGAGAAGAGCGAAACTGTGCTGAAGTGGAGTTTTTACTGAGGTTAAACATTAATGATTATTTGGTTTTATGACGGTCGTCAGTTGGCTTCTGAAGGCTTGTTAAGTCTCTTGGCTCATTTATTTGATATTTTGATTTTGATTTTTTTTTTTTATCTAGCACTTCTCTGTCTCATTCAGATTTCTGTTTTGTGTGTTTTTTTTGAGAGGAAACGGTTATATAACAAATACTCTAACTGATCCTGTCGTGTAGCTATGCTCGTCAGCATACAGTGTGGGATCCCGGTGGCTGCCCCTCCCCTGCCCCTCACACGTTTCACTTTTTTAAAGAGAGAATTTTGTTGCTTTCTAGGGCTCCATTTACAGGGATCACCGATTTCTCAGTAACAAAGAACAAAATCATCCAACTTTGCTTGGACCTGACCACTACAGTCCAGAAGGTGCGTGCGTCGTTGTCTCTTCCTAAACGTTTTTTTCTTCCCTTTTCCCTCTTTCCTCTTCTTCAGAGGATTCACATGCAGGTTGGAAGCGCCCTCTTTTCTCTCCATTTTTCCCTCACATCAGAATTGGGGAGGGGAAGAAAGGCTTTAAATTAGCTGCATGATGCAGTTGGCTTCTGAAAAATGACCAATGGCCATCACCTCAAAGATTATCTTCTTTCGTTTTAAAAGAATTGAGCTACGTGTCCTGTTATTTTTCTCTAAAATATTAGCACACTTAATTTTTTAAATAGAAATTCTGGAGTAACTAAATTTCACTAGAATGTTTGTTTAGGGCAGAGGCTGACAGAAAAATCAGTATCTCATGGCCCGCCCCCATGTCAGAGGCACAAAGAAACTTGGAGGTTTTCACATTGCAAAGGTTCTGATTTGGAAATGACACCTGTCAATTTCATTCACAGCTCATTGGCCAGACCCAAGTATCTTAGTAAGGGCCAGGAGGACTGATATCAGTCTGTAACGTAACTAGTTTCTGTGACCTGAACTTTAAAAAATTTTTTTATAAGACCCTCAGCTCTTAAGATCACTTAATATATTACCTGGCACCTAGGAAACACTTGTGAAATATTTTTGAATTGAACTGAGGCTATGAAACGTCATGTCTGCTTGGTTCTAAAATTCTGTGATCCCAATATTTGTTTCCACTACTGATTTGGCAAAAAGTAAAGAAAGTCTTTTCCTCAATCCTGACTCTGCCGTATTATAGATACAGTTCTGAAAAGCCGTGTGATTTCTGCTTGTGCCTGGAACACGCGGAGTGAGGTTTGGCTTTGCATGTGGCAGCTGCTCCGGTCCAGTACTGAGGAGCAGCTGTTGAACTTCAGGCGCATGTGACTTCTCACACTTTTGAGGCCGAGTTCTTAGAAAGGAGCTCAGAGCAACTAAAGTGGCTCTGAGTTTCCGCTCTTTTTTTATGATGTGTGAAGTAATTTTGATCTAAAAGAGTCTGATACCAATCCTGCCACGTTAATTCTACAGCCACCACGCCCTGGCACTTGTGGTGGAAGGCATTTATTTTTCCGAGACCTTGAGTTTTCTTTTTCTTCTCTGCATCCCTCTTCCCACTATATTCTGCCTCCTATTTTGATTTTTTACAAAAATTTACTTGGGATCAATTAAAATGACAGTATAAGAGTTAGAGTTAAACGTTGTAATTAGCAGATGGGAAAGTTTTGCTCATAGATGCTTCTGTTTTATTTCAAGGGCCCTTGACCATGGGACTGATTCAGGCTGCCCCTGCTGTGTGTAGTGTAGGGGGAGGAGGAGAAAGTGATGAAGTCAAAGGCAGCGGTGGTAGTATTTGTTTTCACAGGGTGCTTTGCCGAAGCAGGTCGATGTTGGCTTCGTAGGTATCTGGAGTGTTCCTTACAAAAATATTTATTTAGCACTTAGTATGTGTCTGCCACTATTCTAGGCTGTGAGGATACCAGTAAATAGCAGCTGAAAAAAATCCCTGACTTCATAGAACTTGGGGGAGAGAGAAAATGAAAAGATAGATAAGCAAAATGTATGTCAAGTGAAAGTCAGAGACGTGTTAAGGAGAGAAGGTACGGGAAGCCTTGAGAGTGGAAGCCGGCTTTAGATCTGTGGCTGGAGTAACCCATTGAGAAGGGGAGATCTGAGTGACCTGATCGCTGTGACTCAGTGCTTGTCTGGGCGGAATGGCTTACAGCATTGTCTCAGGTGGCGTTTTCCTGGTATTCATAGAGGTGTTGATTGTTATGAATGATGATAAAACATCTCCCCTGGGACGGTGAGATCTGGATCCAGTCACGTCAGGAGAAAGGTGTCCACTGTGCCCCCTCTTCACGCTTGCCTCTGCTTATGGAGGCCTCACAAAGCCTGGCACGTGGTTAGTGGTGATTTTTAGGTGTCTGTTTAAATGAATGAGATAATGCTTTGACAAATAAGCTGATGAGAATTTTGTCTCTTAGGAGAAACTTAACCCAGATTTAAGGGATACAATGAGTATTGTTTCTTTTTTTGTTTCTTTTTGGTTTTCCCTTTGGAGTTTATTGAGCCTGTGCTTTAGAGGTAGACAGTCATAGGTTCAAATCCTACCTCTACCATTAATTAGGCCCGGGACCTTGGACGAGTCACTTATGAGCCTCAATTTTTCTTATCTGTAAAATGGAAATACTAACACTTACTTTGCCAGATGATTTGGTGAGATTTCTATAAGTTGTTGTTGAGAAAGAAAAAAGGAAGAAAAAGTGTAATATGAAGACAAATGACCAAAAAAATTTTTTTAAAAAATATATATTTGTAAAATACACATACATCTAAAAAAAGAAAAAGAAAAAACTATACAGAAAGGAATATATAAGTATAGTAGGCAATTTGGAAGAAAAATTGAGTTTATCTTAGCAGGGAGAGATGTGTAGGGGAGCCAAGGCAAAAAAATAAGTTTTTAAAAATGTATTTATTTAAATTAGTTTCAAATATACAGTACATTGGCTAGACATCTATATAGTTCATAAAATGACCCCCTCAATTGCTCCCTCCCTCCCCGGCCCCCCACTTAGCCATCATATTAATGCTAATTGCATTCCTTAAATTTTTTCATTTACAAAAAGCCTGGACATCACCGCATGTATGCATTCATGTAAAATTAAAAATAAGGAAATAATATAAACTTAAAAATAATATTAAGAGGATTAAATGAGATATAACATATATAAAGCCCTGTGCCCACTTAAGAAATAGTAGCCTATAATAAGAAATATAAAAACCTTGCCTGATAGCTGCCAGCTAGGCTGGCCCGAGTCTGCTGATCCAAGGAATGTGACAAAGCTCAGCCCCACCGTCGGTCTCATGAGCGGGTGACTTGCTCGCAATACTCCTTTTTTTCCATTCCGTGGTTTTCATGCCAGACAGCATGAAGTCACGCCTGCAGCTGCTTCCTCCCAGGAGGACTGGGTGTGGGGACCCCCGTTCAAGGTGGTGAAAGTTAAAAAGTGAGCCCTTTCACACACCGATGTGAACATTTCAGGGAGGCAGGTGTTTCTCTCACCCAGTGGCTCCATCACTACAACGAGGAACCCGTTTTCTTGGTGGCCTCTTGGATCCATCAAAGAATCAAGTATCAGGGATCAGGAGTTCGGACATCCACCTGGAACCTTGGGCCTCGGGGTGGGGAGAGGAGCTCTCTGCGTGTGGGTGGTTCTCACAGTGACAGCAGTGATTTGGGGATTCGTAGCGAAAGATCATAAACACAAATTAGTTTTATTTCTAGCATAGGACCACTTAAGTGTTCTGTTTTTCTAAAGTCAACATTTATTTAATAATTCTGTCCTTCAGATGGTGTTAATAAGGTATGAGCCACCATGGTAGTTGATGGTTTAGTGCCATGCCCAGGTTGGAGAACGAAGAGCATGTTTTTGAGCTGTAATGACTCATATTTTATAAAAGTCGATCCCGTACTTCAGATTTGTATCAGACTCACGCATGTAAAAATACATTTCTAAATTTTTTTCTTTAAAACATTTTCTCTCTCAGCTGCTTTTTTCCTGAGAGTCACTGTCAATTTTGGGAGCTCTGAGAAATTATAATTATTTGTCACATTTTTACGTAGTAGAGACAATTTTTTAAAAATTTTAAGAAGACCCTGAAAAATCTGATTACAAAATCACATAGGGTAGAAATTGGTTGCTATTTCCACTCCCACCTCCCCGATAACCTAAAAAGACTTTCTGATCGAAGTGAAATTCTTTCTGACAATTCCAACAGAATTGACTAATACCTTTCATGTACATAAATTAATTAGCATTTTCCCTAGTATGTTCTAGTTAGGAATTATACTTAATGGTGCTAAATAAACTCAAAGACCGTATAGTTGGTCTCCCTTTTTCTTCTGCATACACTCTGCCATGTAGAGATTCAAATTCTGCTGCAGGCAAGTTCTAGAAGTTTAACCGTGAGAGTTTCAAACTGGCAGTTTCACTCTGGCCACTTCTAGACAGGACAATGGTGATTCCTATAATCAGCTCACCAGGTTCATACAGTTCCAAGTCTTTTGTTCTTAAGCTGAGTAAATAACGCTTTGCATTCCAGCCCTTTATTTAATGTCATAATAGCATACCTCAAGACCACTTTTTTGGCAGTGTGTTAAATGAATGTTTTGTGGAGCTTTTTTTGTCTATTAAGGACTGAAATATCTGATTTAATCTCAGCGGTGCTTAAAATAAACTTTTGCGGCTGAGCTTATTCAGGCCCTTATTTCAAAGCTATTCTTATAGGCGGGCCCAGAGCCGAAGACGCCTGGCTTGTGGGCCCAGTGCTAGCTGAGTCTGCGGCCACGTTTGGGAGCCATTGTCAGGTTTACTGAGCTTTGACTTCTGGTGTTCTGCTGTACTGTCTGGACAGCAGGTGGATTTCAGCTCGATGATTTTTGTAGGTTTATAGATTAAATCATCAGTCGGATGGGATAAACTCTTTGGGTGAGGATCGAGTGAAGCCTCGAGAGGAGTCAGGTGGCAGCTCCATGCCCACTCTGCCCTCTCTCTCCACCCAGGTCTCTCTTTCACCAGGACTGCTCCGGCTGTGGGGTTGGGGGGATGTGTCAGGCACCATCTTGGGTTCCAGGAAGTATCTAGACAGCTAAGCCGACAGTTTCTGAAAGTTTTTAGCTCTTACATTTAGTTTTCCTTTTTTTTTTTGTCTTTCCTTCTTTAGGATTGCCTTGTAGCAGAAATGGAAGATAAAGTTCTAACTGTAGTAAGTATACATTCTAAGAGTTACTGTAAACTTCCTTTACGAAAAACAGCGGCAATCACATTAATTAAAGTAAATGCACTGTGGTTAATTACTTCGGGATATACTTTGAAATATTGGCTTTTAGGATGTGGGACTATTAATTTAAATGGAAAAGGAAGAATAAAAGTTATTTAACAACAAGGCCAACTACTGTGAAAACCTGTGTTGAAATTGGATATATCGGAGTCTCTCTTTTGCTTTTTTTTTTGTTTTTTTACTCCGAACATTTTATCAGGGTGCAGTTATACTTAAGTTGATAGCTAGCCTGTTAATCAGGGCTAAACCGATCTGCAGATTTCACTTTAGGACCATTTTGAATAATGAAAAAAAAATTCTTGGCAAAAGCTCTGTGATGGAGGGGGGGATGTACTGTGCCTGTTTAAAGAGCATTTTGTAATTATTCGGCATCACTTCCTCCTTTTGACATAAGCCAGCCTGTGCTCTTTTGATAAGGCCTTCCTCCTACTGATGTTGAGGAATTTAGCAATGAAATTGCTATAAATATATGTTCCATAAATAGAGAGGCTAAACAAATTGGAGGAATGTGAAAAGTGTCACTTCTTGGATTCTCCCCCTTCAAAAAAAAGTCACTCTTTGGAATTTCCTGATTTCTTTGGTTGTTTAATTTTGAAAGGTTAGATGGATCCGATTGGGGGAAGTACCATGCGTCACCACTGTGATTTCTACATGGAGACCGCTTAATACAGATCTTCGCATTGTCTCTAAACGTTTACTTTGTCGATGTTTGGCGTTCAGAGACCGTGAGCGTCCCCGTCACTAACACGTCCGTTGACCTAAATTTAAAACACAAAACTATAAAACTCTTAGAAGAAAACAGGAGAAATTCTAAGCGATCTTAGGTTTGGCAACGATCTTAGTTTTTATAGATATAGGACTACAAGCACGAGCCATAAAAGAAAAATGGATAAAGTAGACTTCATTAGAATGAAAAACTGCTCCGTGCACCGTTAGAAGGAAAAGATACGCACAAACCAAAACACTTATCAGATAGAGGACTTGTAAACAAAATATACGAAGAACCCTTAAAACTCAATAATAAAACCACAATAACCCGGTTAAAAAGTGGGCAGAAGATCTGAACAGACACCTCACCAAACAAGGTATACAGCTGGCAAATAAGTATATGAAAAGATAGTCAACCTTGTGTTTCATTAGGAAACTGTAGATTAAAACAACAGGATGCCACTTACACCTATTAGAATAACTAAAAACATGACACCACCAAGTGCTGTTGAAGGATATGGAGCAGTAGGACCTCTCATTCGTTCCTGGTTGGAATGCAAAATGGTATAGACACTTTGGAAGAGAGTGTGGCGGTTTCTTACAAAACTAAACATGCTCTTATCCTACGACTCAGCAATTGTACTCCTAGATATTTACCTAAATGAATTGAAAACTTATATCCACAAACCTTTGCACAGGACTTTACAGCAGCTTTATTCATAACTGCCAAAACTTGGGAGCAACCAAAATGTCCAGGAGTAGGTAGGTGGATAAATAAACTGTTGTACATCCAGACAATGGCATGTTATTCAATATTAAAAAGAAATGAGGTATCAAGCCATGAAAAAGTATGGCAGAAACTAAAACGCACATTACTAAGTGAAAGAAGCCAATCTGAAAAGGCTACGTGCAACGTAATTCTAACTATATGACATTCTGAAAAAGGCAAAGCCATAGAGACTAAAAAATACCAACGATTGCCGGAATTCACGGTGGGAGAGGAGGAGACAGATGAATGAGTGGAGCATGGGATTTTAAGGAGCGAAATTATTCTGTATGATATTGTAATGGTGGATACATGACGTGATGCATTTGTCAAAACCCATAGAACTGTACACCACAAAAGAGATCCCTAATGTAAACATAATAATCTCTCAATATTGTTTATCAGTTGTGACAAATATACCACACTAATGCAAGATGTTTATAACATCGAGTTACTTTTAACTGTATTATAATCTGATAACTATTGAGAACTGTGTTTGGGTAGGAAAGAAGTATATAAGAACTCTGCACTTTTTGCTCAATAAACAGAAAGGTTTCTATAAACTTAAAACTACTTTAAAAAGTAAAATCTATTAATAAAAACAGGTGCAGGCAAAAAAAAAAGACACATTTTTTGAAACCTGGTCAATATTTGATAGGCAAAGAATATGAATGATCACTGAAAAAAAAATACAAATGGCTGTGAATCGATGATTCTCTTAACTGCCGAAAGGGGATTTCTGCCTGGTCTGTGCTCTTCAGTGGTTGTAAACGAAATAATGTAAAAGCTGCACTTTTTAAACAAAACATAAATAGTGGCATCGTTCCCACAATTGCAAATACAGAGTCCAAATGCCGTGTGTTAATTAAGCAGTATTATCAAAATGATTTCTGACCAGAGCTAAAGATTATAGGTGAAGTGCATTTCTTTAGCATCTAGTTTGAGATAAACTTAGTTAATGATTGAACCTTTCCTGACTTTGTGACTCTCCAACTCTAGGTCAAGGTTTTAAATGGCATCTGTGACAAAACAATTCGCTCTACCACGGATCCTGTTATGAGCCAGTGTGCGTGTCTGGAGGAAGTTCACTTACCAAACATTAAACCTGGGGAAGGCCTGGTAAGAATTCTCACGACACTTGTTTTTAAATAATAACACTTCGTCGTTTATTAAAATTTTTTTTTATAATTCCTTATTGCCTTCATTGTAATTCTGAATAAGATTAAAATTAGACTGTCTCCCATCATGTAGGAATTTGTCATCTTGAACTGTTGACATATTTTATGTCTTCAAAGTATAAAAATAAACACAATTTTTAAACTGTACACTCGTATCGTGAAGGAATTGTCTTAATAGTTTTATTTTTAGGACTTAGCAATGCAAAGAAATACAAAACATTTACACAAAGGAAAGATGATCTCTGGGTACATAACAACATCTGCTCTGAGAGTCTGTATTAGCACTTAGGATGAATGTGAGAAGAGGCTGTTTGGAAGAAATGATTCTTAAAAAACGTTCAGAAATGGCTCATCAGTAATGTATGAGCTCTACAATAACATACCCTGAGAATGCATACAGGTAGATACCTAGTTACCTAGATACCTAGCTCTCCCAGTCTCTAGCATGCAGCCAGTGAAAGTTGCTGAAATTTAAGTGAAGAAATTGTGAGACCCCTTGATAAACTTAGAGACTTTGAGTCCAGGTTTAAATCCCAGCCCTCAAGTAACTTAACCTCTTTATGTGTCAATTTCTTCATCTGGCAAAAATGTATAATAATAATAACTGTTCTCAGGGTTGAAAGTATTAATTTAGATGCTAGACACTGAATGCCAGATGCTGTATGCAGAGGACACGTGCAGTAATTGGTGGCTGCAGCTACTGTAGCTACTATTGATGGTGAGGATGATGGGGAGTGCCTAGCGTATAAGTAGCTATGGGGGAGATAGCACGACAGTCTCTGCTCTCAGACGGGGAAAAAAAAGCAACCAAATGTTGACCAGCCTGCATTCATAGTAAGTAGACGTATCCATACAGAGGCTGCTCGGCTTCAGAGTAAATGATAGATGATAATAGATTATTAGACAGAGAAAGTTTCTAGTCACATAGAAGCAGAGAAACGGCCCAAGTGGGCAGAACTAGAGTTGCCACTTCAGATGGTACAAGCAAACGCTCTGGGAAGAGGATCGCCGCATTCAGGGAGAAGCTGATCGCTCTGCAAGTGACAGTGACCGGAGAGGAGAGGAATGGGGAGAACCTTGAAGGGGCCAGAATTTCAAGAGACTCTCATTGTTGAGTGGTGTAGGTGGCTGATCAGGGCAAGGTCAAGGTCAAAATAATTTCTTAGGAGAATTTGCATTATTGCGACATTGATACCAGGGTGAGCAGCTCGTCTCTGCCCAATCTGCTTTTTGCTGTATTTCCTCATCTTATAAAAGTTTAATAAACATTTTTTATACATGATGTGCCAAACTGCAGAAATGTTTCCTTGATGGTAGGAGTTCACTTCTGAGTTTGCTTACTAAGCCTTTTAGGAAGGAACATATTTATCTTATGCCTCCCTTAACCCGGAAGGGTGCCTATTTCTAAGTTATTCCCTATGTCGTGTTATTTAACAGTCTTTGCTCATACAGCTCGTACAGACCTGGGTTGTTAGTGGCTGGAATAAGACACCCCGCAATGACTGCTGATACCAAATTTAACTGAATATATTGTGTCACTAGATAAAGAGATGGTCAGGAGAGAACAGTCCTTGTTTGAAAGGCCTCCTTCATTCTCTGCAGGGCTGAGAAGATTCCTCCCGAATCCCCAGAGTTATGGCAAAATTTGATGTGCCTGGCACGCAAATGACGACATCAAAGAGATCTCGTTTCTGATTTCTTTTACTGGCGTTTCGGTTTCTTTAGTTCTCCTTCACCATTCCTTGGATCTTGTTTCACAATGTTTCAGGAGGCTTAGAATTAGTATTGTTCGGCAGGGGCTGCCTTTAACGTTTTATAAGTTCAAGTCTCATTCGCGGCTGTATTTCTAAACGTCGGCGTAAAGAGTTAATATATTTGTGACTTGCTCTAGGGCATGTACATCAAATCGACCTATGATGGATTGCACGTGATTACTGGAACCACAGAGAATGTAAGTGCCTGTTTGTTAAAGGTAAAAGGTATTGGATGTTTAAACAAATTCGACACAGAGTCCCCACGCTTTGCATTTAAATATATGCATGCTGTTTTGTTATCCACGGTGAGGGCGTGGGCGCCTGTTTTGTTTATTTCTGTTGCTAGCTCGCTGCTTATCACCAGCTGTTGTCAATTTATTATTCAAATTGTCCTTTTTTAGCTCTCATTCACACACCTTGCCCAGTTTTTACTCCCATCCTTGTGTTAATTATTCCTTTTGCACCCTGGAAGTGTTAACCCATAAATGCAAAAACAACGATCTGTTTGTTGCCGAGAATCACTCTTATAAGAACTGGGAATGTTAGCCATATGTGTAAAATATCGTTGTTGTTGTTGTTGTTATTGTTGATTGTTTAATGGAATTTATACGTGTCACTAGAAAGAAACTCTTGAGATTTTTGCATGATGTAGGTTTTTTTTTTTAGAGAGTTTTATTTCATATTTGGCATGATATTGAAATTTAGTTGTTTTTTTTTTTTTTTTGCCCTAATCCTTTGAATGGAAAAAACAGAACTGTTTCTACTGTGAGAGACTTTGCACACTGTTATCTTTCTTTCAGAAATTCTGCTACATGAAAGGTGTTTCTTTAGGCCCTCAAACATTTTGAATTTGGGAAAAGTAGAGCTAATTGAATGCTTTCTTTTTGCAACGTGCAATATGGCTAGCTTTTAAATGACGTTGATATGAAGTTTAAAATGTTTGAATAGCTTCCAGAATCTGTGTAAAAGAAGCACATGTCTGTGGAATTAATCTACTATTTAATCAACTCTGACAAGAGGAAGTAATTCCTTAAAATAGAAGAAATTTGGTACCTTTTCCTAATTTGTTGGGTGGAAATACACATTGAATTTTGAACTTCAACTGCCAGGTCTTTTGATAAAATAAAAGAGCATGATCTTTGGTGAGGATTTGTGACACTCGCTTGATTTTTATAGTAAGAGAAAAATGACATTGCTTAAGGCAGTCAGTGAATTATAAACAAATTGTGTGGTTCTGGCAGACGAACGAGGAAAAGATGGTAGTGTCTTTAGGCATTCCTCATTGAACTACAATGAGAATACACTGAAAACTACTAGGAATTTTTACATCACCTTACCTGATAGGCAATAACAGCACAGGAAGTTCTGCTTTTAGGCTGGGGATGGTGGAAAAGAAAAAATGCACAACGCGTTATGCTGTTCATCCCTTATTCTTGTCATAGACTGAGTATATTTCAGCCAAACCATGACAAGAACATACACACGCGCTACTCAGTGCATTATGTTGGAATTGGATGGATTAAGAGGAATAGTGAATACTGTTTCAGTGTTTAGAGTTCAAGTTTTGCACCTAGCCCTTTGGCATTAACAACCAGACTCTCCTTGGTCTTCTGGAATCAATTTCAATCTTGGGTAAATGTGTAGAACGCTGTAATATTGCTTTCAAAAGGTACACAGATTTCTCTTCTTCGAAACGCACCCCCGCTTTATTTTAAAGATGAGAGTTGAATGCGACTAAACAAGCTTCTTCGACTCAAATGATATGTCAAATGTAATGACATATTTTCTAGAATTCCTACCAGACTCAAAAGGCTGAGTGAGAAATTCAGGGTTTACCTGAATGTAGTTGATCCTAGCACTCCCATAAAGGATCGTACATGTTGTCTCAGAGTGAGGTGGTTTCCATCCAGTTTAAATTCAAAAAAGGGAAAATTTGTCTTATTACTTCTGGCCATCCATCTGAAAATGTCATTCAGTCCTTCAGTTATTCAGCTGTGTTCACCGAGCACCTGGATTGTGCTGAACACTTGTTAAGTCTTGTAGATGAGGGTGGGAAGTTAGGTAAGAGCCCACTTCTCGTAGGTTTAATCTGGATATTTTACACTTCAGGCTGGATATTTTACACTTAAATGGCAGTAGAAAATGCCAGCTCCAGCTATCACTGAAGGTTGCTATGATTTCAGAGTTAGAATATCTTAATGGAAGCCCAGTGGATGGAAATCACCCATTGCATTGCTAAGCCAATTTCTCCACATCTCTCTATCTTGGACTCTAGGCTGAAGCAATGCCAGAGGCCATTTCAGTCCTCCAGCCCATTTTTTTTGTTTTTTTTTTTGGTTTTTTTTTTGGAGGTTATCTGAGAAGCCATGATCATTCCAAGGTCAAACCGAGTAGTCTCTCGTGATTCTCTGTCTGGCTTCCTTTTTGATGTTGTTCAAGACCTTGACAGGAGTCTTGACAGGTTCCCATCTGTGCTCCTATTCCCCACTCCTGAGATGAGGTGGGCATTAGATTAGCCTCTGAAGAATGGAAACATTCTTTTCCAGGTCATCACCTTCCGCAACGAACCAGAGCAAGCATCATTTTTCTGTAGTCTGGCTCATAGTGAAGATAGGACAGAGCTACTGCCATAGAGACAGCTCTCCCTTTACCAGTGTTCTGCCAAGCACAAATCTTAATCACTTGGTAGGACATTTGAGAAATAAAAGCATGAGGATCCTTAGGATAGGAAGTCAATTCAGGACACTGGGACTCGTTTTTTAAGATTACACACCTGCAGACAGGGACATCCTGGCCTCAGGGCCATCTTTTATAATGTGAAGTTTACCTTAAATAAGTCCTCATTTAGCCCAGGAAGGTTAACTGGAAAAATTGGTCTGCAACTCTAGGTTAAGCATTGAACACACAGGAGCAAAAAGGAACACTGAGACATTGATTTTTTTTTTTTTAAGTGCCTCAAGAGAGAGATTTGAGTTAGGCCATCTCCCTGTGGTATCCACGACGCTAGTGTCTCAGAGGAGGAGGCACTGCTGGTTGTTATGGAGGCAGGTTAAATGTTTTTAAAAAATAACAGTCACACCTGTGCTTTGCGTTAGATCCAGATAAATCAGTGGGAGTGTTTCTACAATTTAATGCTGCTTGCTCACTTCTTGTTGAGCCTATCACAGCAGTTGAGTGAGAAAATTCAGCAAATGTATCTGTCTAGTTGCTAACCCCGCACCATGTTCAGAGGTGCTATTTTTTTAAGGATAGCTGTAAATTGAAGATTCAGCCAGTGTCATGTTACTAAATAACATTTCGTTATAATTTGTAATCAAAGGTTTAGCCTTTCCTTCTTTTTTTGCTAATATGTGGTATCTTAATCTTAAAGAGTTCTAGTTTGATTAAATGAACAAGGATACTATGGGCAAAATATTGGACAACTATAGTCCATTAATATATGTAAATATACACACATATGTGAATATATCTATATCTACGTCCATTTGCAGATTTGTAGCAAAGTATTATTTGGGAAAATATAAAGTCTGGAAGTTTGTTTTGATGCTGAAAACGAATTTATTTTGAATTTAAGCTATAATGGAAAAAATTTTATTTTCTCTGAAGAAATACAGTTTCTATTCTCACCCTCTTTCTGTTTTAGTAGCATCGTGATAACATGTAAAACAAGGCTGAGTAAAAATTAGATTTAGTTCAATCATTGCTTAAAAGGAAATGGGATGACAGAGTTACAGAAATGGTCCTTACATGTTAAACAAGTTGGTCAGCTTTTACAAGATTAATTTTGATAAGTATATATGTATATATATGTATATGTATATGGTGTATTTTTTTGGTGAAACAATGGCTTTTATCAGCTCATGATGTCAACAGTATGTCCTACTCACCCTAATATGTGAGATGAACCTGGCTCTTCTGACGGATTATCTGTAATAGTACAGAACACCTGAATAACACAAGCATTCATATGTCAGGTTTTACATACTATGTAATCTCAGGGAGCTCATGCATACTTTGTAATATTTCTTGAGAAAATTATGTTTCCATTGCTCACTGTCTACAGAAGAAAGAAAGAAGAAGAAATCGAAGCAGAAAGAAATAGCAGGTTAGAAAAGTAAGACAGGTCTGCATTTGTTTCCAACAGTCTCCTGCAGACAGATCTCAGAAGATCCACGCTGGTGACGAAGTCATTCAGGTCAATCAGCAGACTGTGGTGAGTTCCTCATCGCGTCTTAAGACTTGCTGTTCCCCTCCAGAACTCTGAACTAAACTCGAAGCCATTTTGCTTGAATTTTTAAGATTTGCCATTTCTATCCAATTTTCCATAATATTAAGCAATGCTCAGATGAACATATTTGCATTTAAGTGCATGTCCCTGTGTGCTCACAGTGGAGCTCCTTGAGATACATTCAGAGGTTTGATTTTTCCTTACTCATGAGTCCCCGCCCTCGCTCCTCCTTTTCTTCCTTTGAAGGTGGGATGGCAGCTAAAGAATCTGGTGAGAAAACTGAGAGAGAACCCCACGGGCGTTGTGCTACTGCTGAAGAAGCGCCCCACGGGCTCTTTCAACTTCACTCCTGCTCCCTTGAAGAACCTGCGCTGGAAGCCACCCCTCGTGCAGGTATCGTGCATATTTCTGCTACCTGCATCGGCTGTGTTTCCGCCACCGGTTGCGGGCCTCCGTCTGGAGTCAGTGCATGGACCATGTCAAATGTCTGATTAGTCTCCAGAAAGAAAGTTGAAGATTAGGAGATTGGTTTCAGAACTCTGTGTGTGTGTGTGTGTGCACACAATTCTCCTCTAACCCTACTTAGATGAAAACAGACATTTGAGATTTGCACTGGAACCGTATGGCAGCCGCGAGCCACGTGCGACGGTTTAAACGAAATCAGAAGTTCAGTTCCTCTGTCTGACTGGTCACGTGGCAGAGGCTTAGCAGCCACGTTGGGCTAGTGGCTGTCACTGCTTCAGAAAGTTCATTCTGGTCCTTCTCTCTCCTTTCAAACACACGCTTATGTAAGTGTGTCCAGTTTGAGCGCTAGCCTTAGACGCATGGGGCTGAGTCCTGAGCTGCGATTTAGCAAGGCAGGGCTGGGGACGGTGGGACTAATGCACATGGTGGCCAGCAGCATCGCTCCACCATTTAGACATTGTTTGGAATTGTTGGTCTTGGATGGTAATAAAAAGTAGACCGACTTTTAGTGAGTTTGATTATTTAAATTCTCTACAAACACTATACTCCTTTATTGCCTGCACCTGGGTGGACTGCGCTCCCTGACCCCTCTCTTATGCCATCAGTCCTTAGTGTTTATTTCTTAAACTGTAAATAAAAAGCAATGACATTTTAATGCCCTTTGATAAGATGGAGATTGCAATTTACGTGTAACTGTCTGTGATTTTATTGACCATCTTCAAATGGAAGGAACAGTAGTCATCTCAGGTCATCAATATGAACGCTTAGCTATGTGTAGATCACTGGAAATGCGGTTACATGTGTACCTTAATGCGGGGCAGGCGGGGAGGTGTGTAAATCACAGGATGCAGAGGGTGGAGCAGGGAGGGGCCCGGAATTAAAATCACTTCTTAAATTATAACTGAGTGTATCAACCACACCCCAGCTGCTTCTGTTTGCATTGCTCAGTACGAGTTGTAACATCTTTAAAATTTGGGGGATTTCTCAGAATGGGTTACTTACCATCATAGAGGTCTTAATTCATCGTTGGTAGTTGGCACTCTGCCAGCTGCTTGGTGCACAGGGTAAATGTTGGGCTCTAGCGACGGGGAGATGGGAATGGGCTGGGTGGGTGGAGGCGCCTCTTCCCATGGACGTGGGAGCACCTTGGAGCCTGGAAGGCGAGGTGGGGTTTAGCAGATGGGAGGGCATGTCACAGAGGAGACGAACACTGTGGGAGGGAAGGAGAAGAAAGAAGAGGAAGCCAGCAAGGTGGCATCTCAGGTAAATCTAGCCTTGGCCTGTTATACAGGTGTAACCACAGAGCGACAGGCTCCTATCGCTGTACTTGGGAGGGCAGCTGTCGACTGAGGGTTATTCTCTAGCGAAGGGGACAGCTATGAGCCTTCAGCAGCTGATACTCTTGGCATTTGGGTTCGTTGGCTGGCAGAGGGGCTGCGAGTATACAGGCATCACCGTCCTCTGTGACATGCGTAGATGAGACCCCAGCCCCGGGGCGGAGGGTGGCAGAGAACGCAGGCTGGTGGGCTGAGGCGGTAGAGTGCCAGGCTGGGGAGCATGGGCTTCATCTCACAGGTAACAGGTTGACAGGTGTTTTTACATTAATATTTGCATTAGTTTGCTAGCACTGCCATAACAAAGAACCACGGACTGGGTGGCTAACACAACACTCATTCTCACAATTCCAGGGGCTGGAAGTCTGAGACCAAGGTGTTGGCAGGGTTGGCTTCTTCTAAGGCGTCTCTCCTTGACCTCCCGATGGCTACCTTCTCCCTGCGTCTTCAGATGTCTTTCCTCTGTGTGTCTGTGTCCCACACTTATGTTCTTATAGGGACACCAACTATATTGGATTAAGGCCCAATCTAATGACCACGTGTTAATTCTGTCTTAAAGATTCTATCTCCAAATGCAGTTCTATTCTGTGGCACTAGGTGTTGGGACTTTTGAGGGCGACACAGTTCAGCTCATGACACTATCTAAACAGAAGAAACACCGGGTGGGAACTCTTGCATGTCTGGATGATGGGCGATGTGGTTCTGGGAAAGGCTGGAGACGGGCAATTCCAGTGAAAGACTAATAATATAAAAAGCTGTTTGGAAGAAGCGTCAAGAAGACTCACAAAGCAGTACAGCATAGTGGTTAGGTGGTGGGCCAGGGGCAGGGCCGGAGTTGAATCCCTCTAGTTCAAATCCCAGCTTTGCCACTTACTGGCTGTGGGACCTTAGACAAGATTTAATCTTTCTAAACCTCCTAATTATTAGTGTTGACTGTTAGGCATTTGGGTGAGGGATGAGGAAAGCAAGCACAGCAGGTGTGAAATGTGACAGTGAACCTGGGTGGTGATATCAGTGACAGAAATTAGACCGTCAGCAAAGAGCCATCTGGAAAGGCAGAGATGAATAGGTCTTTTCAGAATCATTGAGTTTGAAGTATTAGGAAAATTCAAGTGCATATGTTCGGAAGCTAAGTGAAAATTCTTTTTAAATATAGGCTAGAGCTAGTTCCTTGACCTCTGGAGATTCATTTAAGGAAGGAGCACTTTCCTGTTCCCCAGTTCTGTCTTCCTTTCTGCCAAGTCCCACTAACTGTGCACTTAGGGGGGAGAGGTGACAGTGATGGATGAGACACCCACCTTTGCTTTTGACTCAGGCAGAAGAGCACCATCAAAGTGCTGAGATCTTTTTTACAGCTTGGGTACCAGGTATTCTCACAATGTGTCCAGGATATTTTCAGAATATAAACCCTGGTAGATGAATATTCCACAGACTTTGCCCCTGGGTCGCTTTGCGTGTCGTTCTTCAGGGTCTTTATTCCTGGGTGCCCACTTCTTCTGGGAGGGAGCTTCTTTAATTCTCGCCAACATCATTGGTGTGGTCCTGTCCCTGTCATCGTTCTGTTTTAGGTCACAGTCCCGGTATATGAGGCTTATCGATTCAGAAGTAATCATCAATGTTGGCATTTTCATCGAGTGCCTAGTGTGTGAAAATGCTCCAGTGTACTTTTCTTCTTGTCGAGGGCCTGGATCCTGCCCCATGTTTTCAGACATCGTCCAAGATGAACAGATGGAGATGTTAATCGATTACAGATTGAGTAGAGCTGACAGAGGACGTGTTAGTGGCCAACTTCCAGGAAGTGATGATTGTGCTCCAGGAGACTCTGGACTAAGCTCCTGTTTTTCTGTGCCTTGGTGTCTCCCCTGAAAACGGGGCTGTCACTCCGTGAGCCCTGGCTATGCTAGCCCTTGCCATCTGAATCCAGTCCACAGTGTCGCTTTGGAGAGACTTGGGGGTCTCCATCACCATCTGGGCTCCATAGGGTTTGAGGTGCCTTTTTATGTCCGTCCAGGGACTAGTGCTGTTCTCATGGGGTGCCTCCCGCTGGCCTTTACCAGATGTCTTCGTGTCTTGACTCTGCGATTCTTTCGTTGTGCCTTTTCCGACTAGAAAACATTCATCATTTTTTTGTTGTTGTTGTTAGTCTATAGAAGAGAGAAGATCGAAGGTCTCACATGCGATTTAAAGAAATGTCTTTTGAGACCGATCTCATGATTAAAATTGATTTGAATGATTTTGTGATTTTAAAATTAACTTGTATGTACGCGTATGTGTATACAATACTAAATTAAATACCCGAGGTTGTGTGCTGACTATGTGCCGAACAGAGTGCTAAGCTCATTACATGTAATATCTCAGTTCGCACCGCGGCCCTGTGTTGGTGCTATTCTTGTCCCCATTTATTCCCATTTTATAGACGAGGCACAGAGAAGTTCAGTGATTTACCCAGAGACACACAGCTGGTAAGAGGCACAGTAGTTCCTTTTCATCTGTGGTTTCACTTTCCCTGGTTTTAGTGACCTGCAGTTTCATTCTCCTGTGGTCAACCCCTGTCCAGAAATATTAAATGGAAACTTCTAGAAATAAAAAAACTAATCCGTTTAAATTGCTCGCCTTTCTGAATAGTGCGATGAAGTCTCTCGCTGTCCTGGTCCATCCCTCTATCAGATTGGCTATTTTGAGAGAGAGACCACATTCGGATAACTTTTATTACAGAACATAGTTAGAATTATTCTATTTTATTATTAGTTATTGTTAATCTCTTACTGTGCCTAATTTACGAACTGAACTTTATCACAGGTATGCACGTATAGGAAAAAACATAGCATATATAGGGTTCGGTGTTATCTGCGGTTTCAGACATCCACTGAAGATCTTGGAATGTGTCCCTGGTGTACAACTGGGACCGCTGCATGGCACCCACATTGTCCGAGTCCCCAGCCCATCCTCCTAGCCAATGGTAGCGTTGTTAGTGATTTGTGTGCACTAACTCATTTAATCCTCGCTGCAACCCTGTGCAAGAGATCCTGTCAGCACGACTCTGTTTCAGAGGAGGAAACTGAGGCACGAGCTTTTAAATGATTTGCTCAGAGCTAGAATTTTAACCTGGGCACCTGGCTCCCAAGCCTCTGTCTCTCACGATGCATCTTGTCTTTCAGAGCCCCCAGTGAATTCTGAGTGTCTCAAAGAACAATACAGGGCAAATGCTGCTAATAGCTATAGACGCATGAATGACCTCGCCTCGTTTACGCTGGGGCTGGGGCTGGCTTTGGGGAGGGGGAGACGTGCACCAAGAATAATCTCTGAGGTAACCTCTGCCCTTTTGTACTTACCCCCGTTTCAGACCTCACCTCCACCCACGACAACCCAGTCCCCCGAAAGCACCATGGATACCTCGCTGAAGAAGGAGAAGCCAGCCATCCTAGATCTTTATATTCCTCCCCCGCCGGCTGTTCCCTACTCTCCCCGGTACGTCAGAGTCCATGTTTGCGGTGTCCATGGAGATTCTAAGTAGTGGTGTGAAGACCACGCAGATATTGAGAGGAAAAGTCGCCGAATTCCAGTGTGACAGGGTTGAGTCTTGAAATTGCCATTAAGGAGTGTGATTCTGGGGTTGGGATGGGGAGTGGGAGGATTGGGTGAAGGTGTGCCAGGGTACCTACTGCCAGCTGTAAGTTTAATAAGTCCTGGGGCTGTAACGTGCAGCATGGTGGCTGCAGTTACCAACACTGTGTTTTGTGTTTGCAAGTTGCTGAGAGAGTAAATCTAAAACATGCTCATCAGAAGAAAAAAAAAGAATTTGTGACTATGTGAGGTGATGGATGTTAACTAAATTTATTGTGGTGATCATTGTGCAATCTACACATATATAAAATCATTATGTTGTGTACCTGAAACTAATACAGTGTTATGCCAATTATATCTCAGTAAAACAGGGGGGAAAGTGTCCCTACGTTTTCTTTAGGGGGACACATAGGGGCAGATCCAGGTTTTGTGGGTCTTGGAGCGTTACAGTTTGGGGAAGAAGGGCTCTTTGTGAAAGTGTGTGCTCTTGGAAACACACTGATTTGGCTCCTCCTTGGCCATTGAAAGGGGCTGTTTGGGGGGTTCCCACATGGTAAATTCATCTCTGGGAAGGAAGATAATAAATATTCCTGGGAGATTAAAGTTATAGCTTTATTTTGCCGAAGGAGATGTCGTCTTTATAGCACTCAAAGAAACACGAACGTAGGTGTGGATGTGCTGTATTTGCACGCACACGTGTGTTTGTGTGTGTGTCTATTATAAGTTCTTAAAGATTGTTGCTTTCTTACTGGCTATCTTAAGTGTTTTATGGTATGAATGTGGTTGTGCCAGATGATGTATAGGTATGCTATGTAGGCTTATTTATATCAACTTACATATTTGCATATGCTGGTAAAACTGGAGAATCTGGCTCATTTATTCGATATACATATATTTAGTGTCGGGCCTCTGTGACCATCTTACACAAAACAGATGTAGTTCTTGCTCCAGAGAACTGCCAATGTCTTAGTCAACTGGTCAAGAATAAATTGAGAAACATGTAATTATGCTATAATGTTTCATAAGACAAAGTTCAAATTGAACATAGGGTGATGTTTTACTTTATATTGGAGTTTTTCATTTGCTTGTTTGTTTTTGTTAAACTGAACTATTTGCTTCTATTATGTTTCTTCTCAGGGCACCAAGATGAATTAACACCATTTCCCTCTTCTTTGAGGCTTGGTTTGCCCAGAATTTATTAAAGCATATAGAGCAGTTACCTTACGTGATCAGGGACATTCTGGTTGTTAGACAGGACCCTTCCCTGAAGTCGCAGACCAGAGTCATGTGGCCATGAGATCTTAGGTGTGTTTAAAGTGACAGGTAGTGGCCTTTGCAGATGGAAAACACAGTTTCACTGATGAGTAGTATGTGGGTTGTTCTATCAGAAACTGTAGGGAGGACACCGTTAATGAAGGATATCTTCTGAGTGATGAAAAATGCAAACAGTTACAGAGGATGAGTGGTGAGTCACGAAAGCTTTGTGAACAGGATGCTATATGCCAGGTTTAAAAGTGTAGAAAGAGGTAGACCCATGGGGGGAGGGGCGTGCAGGCAGCTGGCTCACTGGGATCACCACACAGGCGAGGCTGATCTTCAGATTGTTTTTGTACTCAGTTGATTCTGTGATTTGTCTCATCGTTTTTTTAGAGGGATCAACTAATGGAATTTATTAGAGGTAAAAAATTTAACCAGTTGGTAACTTGGACTCAACTAAAATGAATTTTAACTTTTTATTATAAGCTGACATTTCGAAAGAATCAAGTTGGATTCGATGATCCAGCTTTTGCCAGTTTCTGTCCGTAGTTCAGAAAGTAGACACCTCGCATGGGGGACTATAAAGGCCCCTTTGTATTTTTTGACATAATTTTCAAATCTAACAACTCCATTATACATTGAGCGTCTTCTTTGCTGGGTGTTGGCAAAGATACTACTCTGGGCATGAGAAAAATGGTTCAAGAGATCACACCTTCTCTCGTGATTCCTGTAGCAAATAATGGACAGTTCAATGGCAGGACAGATGTCCAGGGCAACCAGAGCTGTCTTTTCAAAGCTGTCAATATATAGGACCATGGAAAAAATTTTCATTTTCCCTTATTTAGTAGGTGTTTACTTTAATTTAATAGGATCTCTCTGTATTTGAGGGGCAACCGGGATTGAAAAAGTAATGATTTTTCCCCCAGTGGGAAAGGGGATTCAGGTTTTCTCATGGATGTCTCCTGTAATTCTTCAGTATGGGAGGGTCTTGGTCAACAACTTCATCATCGCCTACTGTCTTCCAGGGATGAGAACGGGAGTTTTGTGTATGGAGGATTCAGTAAGTGTAAACAACCATTGCCTGGTCCCAAGGGTTCGGAGTCCCCAAATTCCTTCTTGGACCAGGAAAGTAGAAGACGGAGATTCACCATTGCCGACTCTGATCAGTTGCCTGGGTATTCGGTGGAAACCAATATTCCGCCCACAAAAATGAGACAGAAAACACCATCTTACGGTACGTTTCTGAGTGTGCGTTTTGTTCTGCTGTCCGCTGTTCTTTTCTGCTCCACCCCCTTCCTTATTTGGAGCCGTCAGATGAATCTGGCAGACTCTACGGGTAATCTGAGGAAAACATAAACCTCAATGAAATTCTAAGTATGAGACCTTTATTCATCTCTGTAAAGCGAAGCCTTGTTGAGTCACTGCTCTGCCTGGCATCAAAGCCAGTGGGTGAGATCATGTTACAGTTTTAGCTTTCAGAGGCTGGGTTTTAACTTTGGAGTTGTTTTGCTCTGTACACACCACAGACTCAAGTTCAGCGTGCCTCTGTCCTGAGTGCTCGCTCACGGAAATACGATGCTTGAAACTACTTTCTTTATTTTAAAATAGGTTATTGCTTCTGCTTAACTGAGTGTGACATTGCAGGGGTGGCGGTCTAAGTTACACATAAAGGGAAGGGTTCTCCAAGTCCAAACACTCAGCCCTGTCGCCTTCCTTCCCCTCCCGCTGAAGGCAAGCCCCGGCCCTTGTCCATGCCTGCGGATGGGAGCTGGATGGGGATCGTGGACCCTTTTGCCAGACCTCGAGGTCATGGGAAGAAAGGTAAGTTTAAGCAAATAGAATCAAATAAGGAGCGAGGAGGCCCAGGCCCCAGTTTCAGCCCTATTCCTAACTGCGGTTAAGGATAGAGGACTCAGGATGGAGGACTTAGGGCTTCTGAGTCTCCTCTTCTCATCTGCAGAATCAGAACTGCTAAAGAGCTCTCAGATCCTACTTATTTCTAGAATGGCAGAATTATGCAATCCTAGTGAGCTCTTAGGAGTCTCCTAATTAGTATTGCGTGCTTTGAAAAGGCCATAGACGTTAACGGTCCAATTTCTAAACAAGTAGAAATAAATTATTCGTTAAACCATCTCATCCCAAATTTTATGACTATGATTATTGGAGTCTGATGTTTTTAATGAACAGAATGGAGTTTTTCCCTTCCAAATCCATCTTGTGTTAGAGAGTAACGACCGTTGGAAAAGAAATCTGTGTTTTAATTCACCCTGTAATCAGTTACTGGTTATTGCACTGGTCTTGAGGGAAATGTTTATAAATAGTCTTATTTTTTGCTAGTTTATATTTGATTATCAACCCTGGCAGGGCATTTATAGCGTTGTTTTGGTAGTGCTGAAACAAAAGCAGATGAAAAGTTAAAGTTCAGTGGGTCTCGGATAGTAAAAGGAAGAAGAACATTCTGGAGGCCCAGCTTCCAGAGCGATCAACCCTGAACATCTCCCAGACACTTGGTAACGTGTGTCCCCTATGTACCCTAATCACCTGGATTATGCTAATGCGGAAGAGGGAGAAGACAACTGTGGAAGGTCCAAGATACCTCTAGGTGACGTGTGAAAATCAGAGCAGTCAGCAGGTGGCAGGGCTGTCCTTTGTTTAGATTTAGAAATGTCAGCATCTTCACCGCCATTCTTTTAGCCCGTAAAGCCCTTGAGTTAGCCCTTTGGTTCCTATACATATTGAGAGATGGAATGGGGGCGTGGGGGAGTGTGAAATCAGTAAATGGAAACTGATTTGACCCCCTATCCCATTTTCCACATTTTTCTTGTATGATTGTTTTAGAATAAAAGGTGTCTGTCTGCACAAAGGGCACTTAAAAAAATAACAGCTTTCCTGTGATATAACTCACATACCATAAGACTCACCCTGTTAAAGCATACAATTAATTGAGTGGTTTTTACTATGTGCATGGAGTTGTATGTCCATCGTCACTGTTTAATTCTAGAACATTTTGTCATCGCGAAAAGAAACCTGACTCATAAGTGGTCACTTCTCGTTGCTTTCTTCCCGGCCCCTGGCTACTGCCTGCCAATCGACTGTCTCTGTGGATTCGCTTATTCTGGACATTTCGTATAAATAGACTCCTACGATATGTGGCCTTTTGACAATGGGCACTTTTTGAAAGTAACTTCCCCTTTGATCACAAAAGTAAAACAAGTACATTGAAAAACATCTAGAAGGGACAAGAAAATAAAACTCAATTGTAATCTGCTTCCCCAACCAAGAAATAACCACTCTGAACGTTTTGTGGATCTTCCGGTTGTTCTTATACATGTTTTATACACTTAGAAAAAGTGTGCAGAATGGGAGAAATGGATGTTCACTAATACTATAAGGTGAATATTATCTAGAACATTTTGTAAAGTTACCGCATTAATATTCATCTATCTTATGGTTATAGCACCTATTTAAATAAATAGTCTGCTATTGTTATTTCTGTTTCTTTCTGCCCCGATTGTAAATAATGCTTCATTAAGCACCCTGGTACATAGATCTTTGCACATTTTTAGGAGTGGAATTTCTGGGTCAAAAGAATGCTATATGTCACCAAAGTGCCCTAGTAGGTTTCTATTTAGTTTCATACCCCCCACAACCCCCCAAAAAGAGAGAGACTCTGGCATCTAGGGCAGGTTCATTCTTCCTTGCTCAAAAATGTCCCAAGCATGGCAGAGCATTAAAATTTTTGGACCCCATCCATCAAAGGTGAATAGTGCCTGTCTTTCATTCAGGTGACAACTGAAGTCTTTCCTCCCTTTTTAAAGGCTCCTCAGTGGTGCTCCAGGATAAGAACCATTGTTCTAGAACCATGCACTATGTGTCCATGCACTGAAAAAGGACGGCTGGGGAAGGAGTGATAGAATCATACAGTTTTCTTTTGTTTTTGGTTTTTTTTTTTTTGATTTCAAGCGAAATTATGAAAGTTCTTAAAGGTAAAGAAGGGTGGGCTCTCTGACTCTACCCTGCCCTTGTGTCACCTGTCAGGTGTGAAAGCAGCCTGAAGTGTGTTGGCCCTCTTCCATTTGTGCCTTCTAACCACCCTGTGGGGAGGGCCTGGCCATCCGCAAGGCCTTGGAGCCTGTCCGTGGGAGGAGGGCAGGGGCTGGCGCCCACTTTCAGAGATGCATGGGAAGTCCGAGCAGGCTGCGGCCCGCTGAGCAGGCTGCAACGAAGGGTTATTTTAATGGACTTGTGGGCTTTGTCTGCAAACAGGTGAGGATGCTCTTTGCCGGTATTTCAGTAACGAACGGATCCCTCCCATCATCGAAGAAAACTCCTCTCCGCCGTATCGGTTCTCAAGGCCCACGACCGAGCGGCAGCTGGTCCGGGGCGCGGACTACATCCGGGGGAGCAGGTGCTACATCAATTCGGACCTGCACAGCAGCGCCACGATTCCATTCCAGGAGGAAGGGACCAAAAAGAAACCCGTCTCGGTGGGGGCCAAGTCCTCGTCTACAGAACCGTCCCTGCTGGTCAGCTGGTTTACTCGCCTGAAACTGTTGACTCACTGAGCCCTGTCTTCGCGGACTCCTCACTGTCTCCTGCTCCCAAGTGCCTTGCTTCCCGCGTGGACGACCTGTTCTGGTTCTCTTCATCCACAGTATTATGTAGAGACATTAAGCAAATTCTTAAAAAAAAAATTTTTTTTTTTTTGAAAACTGTACGCCGTCCTTTTTGGAAATTTGAAGTAATTGGGTGAGACCAAATCCAGAAGGTCTTAGGCGCTGGCTTGCGGAGGCAGAGGAAAGAAATGAGTAGAGAGTCTGCCCTTTGTTCTTCTTTAGAGTTGGGACCTGGAGACACTCTGCAAACCAGAGCCTCTGCCAGAAATGTCAGTCATTGGGAGGAACTGGGGCATTGTTCATTTTGGGGGCGGGATCACATTGGTGGCCATTGTCACACAGATGTGTTGGTTTGTGGTCCAACTTCTTCGCCTGAAAAAGCCAGTGGAGAAACATTTTTGTTTTGATTTTTTTTTTTTAAGCGACATCCCACATTTGTAAGTGTAGTATCTTTGACTTTGAAATCACAAGTGTCTGCCTTTTTCAGAGCACAGATGTAAGTGTAGGCCTGTTACACTTGGTTGACCCCCTTTCCCTAACAATCTCAGTATAGGTCAGTTAATACAGAAACCCACAAACACAGTGACATAGGGCTTATTACACACAAAGACGTTTATGGTTCCGAGGGGTGGTGTTGTTGTTGTTATATATTATTGTCTTTAAAGGAAAAGAAGCTATAAGATTTGCTGACAGCCAAAGTATCATTCAGAAAAGTGAAACAAGACAGGTTTATGAGAGAGACGTCAGTTTGCACGTTGACCTGTTCAGTGCCTAACTTCCAGGAAAAAATGGACAGTTCTTCAAAATTGTACACGTTTTGCTAATTAGAACCATCTTGGAAAGTCTCACGGTCACAATTTTTCAACTAGCATCAGGTATTTTTGGAAAAGTATGTCTGGATATTAACTCTTGTTTAAACTGAATGTATGATATTTTGTTAGAATGGAAAAGTACTATCTTGTTAATTTAAGTGTTTTAAAATACAGTTGTATATTTTTCTTACTCTTAGTCACATGTAATTGAAATATTTCTGTTTCGCGTCATACACGAAGCTAATGAAAAAGAGTGTTCAAAGTATTTTCAGATTTACAAGTGACCACCATGGCTGCCACCACCATGGGTGCTATTGCTAAAAAAGAAAAATAATAAACCTTCCCAAGCATTTTGGGATTTTATGGATTAGAAAGGGGGGTGTCCAGGAAGTGTCTGTAAAGTAACATGACATTTGGGGAATTTTCTGAGGTGTACTTCTCGTCAGAGCTGGTATCCCCTACTTAAAAATACTCCCCACCACCCCATATCACTGGAATTGTTTACTTTGCTGAACTTCCTCAAATTCAATGAATTGGAAATTTCGTGGAGTTGGTAAATATCTTCCTTTTAAAATACCTTTGGTGGGTGGCGGAGGGGTAAGGGAACTAGCAACCCTTAGATACTAGTGGGACTGAATTTAGTCAAGCTACTGTCCTGTCAGCCTCTGAGAACTGCACTGAGAATATGGGTGTATCACGGGGGATGGAAAGGGGTTTGGCAAACCCAGGGCAGGAGAGGCCGGAATGTGGTTCATTGGGTGCTTAACGACACAGTGTACAGGCCAAAGGTGGGGGCGGGAGGTCTGGTAACAGGGCCCTGGTGACTTGGAGGGAGCCCTTGCCCATTTTACTGTTAGCCCGAGCTGGCTCTGTGCCCGGAAACAGGGGCGGCAACATCCCCTCTCACTCCCTGGGCTTAGGGGAGGGCTCCAGGCACTGCAGTTGGGCTGAGTGATGAGTAAAGTAGCTTTGAAGGTCTTAGCTAGAGATTAGCTCCTCTTCGGGGAAGAAGATGCCACTTGTGATCAAGTGAAAAATAAGTATTTAGAAGTCAGTCTTAACTATAGGCAGCGCCCAGCTTAAATTCCTTAAATTCCGATACAGATGGGTATTCTTCAGACTGTTCTCCGATGCCCTGGTGCCGGGGGTGGGGTGGGGGGGCGTTGAGGGGCGGGCAGCGAAGTTTCTGGGCTTTCTACCTTCAGTCAGCCTCCACAGCTTCTTGTTTATTTTGTTTGGAATTTTCTTCTCAATTGTGTTTGAGAAATAGATTGCTGCTTAAAAAAAAAGTTTATATATCACTCTACTGTCGAGATAATAAGTAATAGTTTCATGCTAATTTCTTGGAAACTAATGGAGGCTGCTTGCCTCAACTGCACCCCAGGCTTAATGGCGGATGTGTGTTAACGTGCGAAGATACAGAGTGACGCTTTTTGACGTGATACTTCCAAACAGTGATTTCAAAAATACTACCAGACCCAATCGACACACGTCCCTTTTTATAATAAGCATTTTACAATATCACTGCAATTATCAAATGAAAACCAATGACGATAAAACCTACCTTTGCATATAAAAGTGTCATCCCCAAATTGACTATTCTGAAATGAAGTTAATAGGGAATGTAACCGTCCTCTATACCCATATATCAATTTAAGGTCCTCATTGAAATATAAATATATAAGTATCTTATAATGGAATCATTATTTTAATGTGTAAATGCTCTAGCATTGTTATATTACACAAAGTAGTGAAATAACTTGTATCTCTATGTAAAATCACCATGAACGTGGTGTTTATAAATGCAGACCAATACAGGCCAGCTATGTTGATATCTCGACACCAGAAACAGATTGATGTCAGCAATATGATTTTCTAAAATGCAGCCAATTCTTAATAGAAACCTAGACAAAACAGAGGTTTATACTAGCAACACGCATGGAGTGCTTATTGGGTACCTGGCATTGTTCTAAATACAGCTTTATGAGGTGGGTGCCACTGTCACTCACATGTCACGCACCAGGAGTTATCCAAGGGTATGCAGCTGATAACAGGAGAGCTGGGATTAAATTTGAAGCAATCAAGCTCAGGTGTCCTTGTTATAACCACTTTGCTGGGCAGGCTTCTCTCAACAGATAGAAGGCTCTAATCACATTCCTAAAAAATCCAATGCATGTTAAAACTGGGCTAAGAATTCCCTGTGTGTTTATAGATAAAATAAGATTCAGAGCCTCAAGTAATTACCTAGGTTTCCATCCATGTGAATATATTATGAGGAAATTGAAAGTCGTGCTTACGGGGACCTCTTCGTTGTGAGGGGTCTAACCCGTGGGGCTTACGTGGCCCCCCTCGTCGTTGGCACCTTAAAAGCCCTCACATTTCCAAAACTGCCCGTAGGGAGCGGGACCATAGCTTTGAGACCAAGTGATTTTAAAAAAACCCTGTATCATCATTGAGTAGCGTTTGTTCAGTCTTTAAGTTTTTATCCATTTCCTCTCTCTGTGTCTCTCTCCTTAGTTCTCTCCTCACTAAACTGGAAGTTTTAGATTTAGCTTTGTGGGTTGTTTTTGTTATTGTTCCCCCCCGCCCCCATGAAAGCCAAGCAGTTGTTGGTTCCTCTGGCCCAAAGACCATGAAATATTTCCAAATTTCAGTTTGCTAGCTCTTGGAGAACCCTGTAAGGTATTTACACACATACCTTTTCATACCCTAAAGAGCTTGAGTAAGTAAATCACATTGATGTTTGTATGTTACCGGCAAAGAATAACCATCATGTTGCTTTATTTTGGCCACATGGTGTGAATGGGATGGCCATGCAGACCTCATGTGGATGTTTTCACCTAGCGTATCTGGCATTAGTCTTTACAGACAAGTGGTTCCCTTTTTGCTCCCACTTGTGTGAATAGAATCACTGCATCATTTCCTGTGGGGTAAGACTACTGCGAGCTACTTCCTTGGAGATTATGTGGAAGGTAGACACCTTGAAAAGGAATCAGGTACTTCTGGTATGGCCGCTTTTTGGCTTGGAAAATGACATTTGATTTTCTTTTCTGAGTTACTCTGCTGATGTAATTTTTTTTGTACGTTCATGCTAATCACTTGGAAGGTGAGTATTTAAAAATCTGTTGATTAAAAAGTGGCTTAAAGAGCCCACAGAAGCTGACTTTTCTGCTATTTCTTCAAATTGTGGTGGACTCTAGTAGGACCTAAAGGGACTAAAAAATAAATTTTATAACCTAACCTGTAGGACATGGGATTAAGAAATATTAATCTTCTTATATTCTAAAATTCACTTTATAATTTTCTGGAAATTTCTCAACTGTTAAGTTTTACCTTAGGGGGCTTATTTCTTTTTGGAGAGAATTATTGCTGGAAGTGTGCTAGTTTGATGAAGGTTTAACACATGTGAGGTTTAACATAAGTAAAAGAAAAAGATTCTATCAAATTCAGGTTTGCCAGAGGGCCATGTTATTCTCTAGTTTTAGGGATGTGAGGCCTGCCCCCAAACTATGTGTATGTGTGTGTGCGCGCGCGCGCGTGTTTGTGTGTGTGTGTGTGTGTGTGTGTAGAAGAGAATTTTCTTACCACAAAAGTCCTTCTGTGATCATGGCCTATGGCTTACTAATTTGGAAATAAGAGATTTGTCCACAATCAACAAAATAACGTCACTCACCAGGAGGCTATCAGGAGTCTTTCAGAACCTTGGGGCACCTACTCTGCTCCCCTTACATTGAAACGCACATGGTGTCCGGTTGTAGGAATGAGATCCTGCTTGTAACCTGATCATCCCTGGGCATACTCTGAAGTTTTATGACAATGTTTATGACGCTTATCTTCTGAGTTGGTCAACTGTTCACACGCTGCCATCTGCCATAGATTTCAGGGATTAAAACATGTGAGGCTAAATTTGAAGAAGGTGGGTTTTAATCCTACATTCTTTCCTGGGGCCCCACTGACCACTCAGGAGTCACTGCTCCCAGGAAGACAGTTCATGGCCTGAACGTCCATGTCAGGCTTGCACCAATATCACACACTCTCTCTTTTACTGAGCTACTTGTTTCTCTGAAAAGATGTGAAACTGAATATGTGGGGGAAAATGAGGATATAAACCTCAGGGTATTTTAAGAAGAAGGGATACGGCTCTCCTGAAATCCAGGTAGCCGGGGAAATAAATATTCTCATCATTTTCTCTCCCTTGGCCCAGAGAATTATAAGCATTCAAATATTTGTGAAGGAATAATTAAAAGGAGAGAAAACAGGAAAAAATCATTTTCCCTGTTCTTTCACAGACTAGACCCATTAAAGGATGTAACTTTAATTTTAGGGCGACAGAGACTGGATTTTAAGATATTCTATCACCATGTTGACATATCTTGGTTTGACTATTTTGATTTATTTTAAACATGAAAGCTTTAAAAATGAAGTTTAAAATAATATTGTCTTCGAAGTAAGAAATCGTCCTTTTAATTTTGTGGATGTTGGGTTTTGTTTTCTTACTCATATGTACCTGTCATTTCAGCTGAGGCTGTGCCAAGATAAGAGTGGATGGATTTCAGGAATTAATAATAATTTAGAAGTCTTTGACTTTTGGATATTGGCTTGGAGAAGTTACACACAGCTGGGGGCTCAGCTTTTGAAGTCAGATAATCCAGCTCTCCCACTTTACCACTTTATAAGCTTTGTGACTTGAAGCAAGTTACTTATCTCTCTGCTGCCCAGTTATCTATGAAATGGGGATAATAATAGAATCTACTTCATAGGCTTGCGGGGATTAAAGGAGATAATGTTTGCAAGGCCTGCGCATAGCCTAGCACACAACGCTTGATAGATGTTGACTCTTGTTGGAATATACTAGTAGTAGTGTTTATCCATCTCAAACTTTAGTAAATAAGGCATTCAAAGCTGGTCAATAGGGAATTGCTCATTCTTTTGTCCATAACCAGCAAAGTAATGGCATTGTCAAGCTGTCAAAAGGCCTGGAAATGTGGTTTTTAGTGGTACAAATCTGACCTACTCAGAGGTTTTGGCTGAGTCAGAACTCAGGAAATGATAAAAGTCTATAATTGGACACACTCGGAATAATAGAGTATTATTTTCACATTGGCTCGATTTATCTTCTCTCTTTAATCCAACTTTCTTCAACAAAATGATGTATGAAAAGAGCGGAAATCTAAGTATTTGATGGCTGAATGACTTTTGCCTCACACCCGTGGCTTGAAGTGGTACCCTCAAAACTCACTTCTGTGTTTCAATTGGTTAGAAAAAAAGGACTTGTGTAGGATGGTACTTACCTTGAAAATCCTCATGAAAAAGAATACTGACATAAATATAAAATGAATAGATCATGTTGTCTTTGCAGAAACTGAAAATGACA